GCATCTCCCCTCTTCATTTAACATTTTGAAAATCTCTAAGAACTGAAGTGAAGAGTTGCTTGAATTGTGGGAGAGGAATGTTGGCCCATCCTTGCCTGATATGAGATTGTAACTGCTCAGCAGTCCTGGGTTGTTTGTCATATTTTTCATTTTAAGATGCACCAAATATTTTACATTAGTCAAAGGTATACAGCCTTCCCTGAAAAAGATGTTGTCTGGGTGGGAGAATAGGCTTCTCTAAAACCTGGATATGTTTATGCCCATTGGATATGGATATGGATATGCCCATTCCAAATGTACTAATGGCACTCCCATCCCATCAGACATGCAGGTTTTGAAACTGAGTGCTGAAAACAAGCCAGAAAGTCTGTCTCCGCTTTATTCTGGAGAACACTACTCCCATGATTGCCAGAAAGAATGTCAAATTTCAGTTTCTGTGACCACACAACAGTTTTTCCACTTTGCAACAGGAAATTTTAAATTAATGTAGTCTCATAAAAGATGGTGGCACCTCTGGATCATTTTCATATTGGCTTCTTTCCATGATAGAGCTTTACCTTGCATTTTTTGATTGCACAGCATACTGTGTTCAGACAGTGGTTTTTGGAAGTATGCTTGATCCCATGCAGTGATGTCCATCACAAAAACATGTCTTTTTTTCAATGCAGTTCCGTCTGAGGGTTTGTAGATCATGGGCATCCAGTATTGCATTTCAGCCTTGTGCACAGAGATTTCCCCAGATTCTCAGAATCCTTTAATAATATGTACTGGGAGTGATTTATTTAAAGTCGTTACTGTTTTACATTGTGGAATATTGGTGAACTTGAGGGATTTGGTTGACTCATTTCCTGATCAACATGCGGGAACTTCAAATGATTTGCTTATCTCTGCAGTGTTGGACCATTCTGCTGGATGGAAGGCCATCTGATTTGAATTCAATCATAGTGCTGGTGATGTACATCAAGCATCAGGGAGGGATCATAAGTCTTGCTGCCAGCAAGGGGTTTATCACTTTCTGTCCTGGGCAGAGCTAAACGTTCAGCCTTATCTGCTGCGTACTTTTTATGCAAGGGCAATAGGCAAGCAGACTTCCTCAGTTGGCAATGTCTGGACCTAAGGCTCTGAGGGATTGAGGCATCTATTGTCTGTGATTTTTTTTTTTTTTTTTTTTTCCATTTTATTTTTTAATAATTTTACAACCTAGAAAGGCTTTTGTCAGGAAGGTCTGCCTTTTTAGAAGAGGAAGGTATGCTTCAATTAGTGAATTACATGTTTACAAAGATTTTTTTCTGTTTTAAAATCACTATATCATAACCGTATAAGACATGGAACTTGTAATCGTAGACCATGGGCTATTTGCCACTACCTTCAGGTGATTTAGACAAATGCAAACACTGGCAAAAACTTCACAGGGAATGCCCCCAGTGCACCCTCATCTAACTTACCACTTCAGTTTTTTGATAGTGGTTTAAGGAGCCTCCTATAGTGAAGTTTCTAAACATTGTCACTTCTGTCAAGCTCCATGTGCTTGTTGCCTCAGGGCTGATTAGTAGCTTCCAGAACTGTTATCAATTATGTGCATCTTAGTAACCGTACCCAGACCCCACAGCAACAGGCCAGACTATAATTTTGGACTAAGATCGCTGGATCAAGCTCTTGGTACTCACCTTGGCATGTGGCTCAATGTGTGTACTTGGCCACATGGTGCTATACAGGTCTAGAACCATGGTTTTTTCATAGAATACCTTGACCCTGAAGACCCCATTGGGTAAAGTATGATCCCTTTTGGGAACCTGCAGCATGAATAAAGTAAGATGGGGTTTTTCCTTTAAGACAGTCCTGTTTTTATTTGAGGAGTGTCGCTCAGTTAGTGAGATATCTAGAAACGTCTCTGCTACGTGGGTGCTAGGTAATGTTTTTTTTTGTTTGTTTTTTTTTTATTTTAATGTTTACTTTTTTAAAAACTGAATTGGTTTCCTACCCAATGTTGCTGCTTTTGTGGTGATGTAGTTAGGTGATAAGTCTTCTGGCTCACATGCTTGCACCCACCATTTCTGCAGAGAATGCAGGTAGTCTGTTGCTTGGTCTCTGGACTACTTAATTCAGCAACACAGCTACAGAACAGCAGGCAGCTCCTGATTTATAGTGGCATCTGTCTGGATACAAAAATGCCCTTTCAGTCTGCATTCCTTTTGTGAGTACCCCACAGAGGATCTCTGTACTTGGTGATGGCAGAGATAAGGTACAGAGCAGCTACTGAGGTAACCGCAAAACACTCAGGATGATAGCAGTTTGTTGGCGCAAGTTCATATATTGGCACACCTCCCTTCCTTTAATTTTAGCTCTCGGGCCTGCAACAGATTGCCTGTTTTAGCTAAGGCAGATGCACCTATGACATCTTGTCTAACTATGTCTGATTTATTTTGAAAACTATATGCCCTTCTAGAACCTTTTGGTCTCCAGGACCCAAAAGCTCTCTTCTGCCTCTCCACCACCAGAATCTAGTTAGGTGTATAACCCAGAGTCTTCAACTGGTTTTAAGAAGATTGTGGAAAGAGAGGTAGATGCAGTAGATGGTACTGCAGAGTAAATTTTTCCTCCTGTTTGTTGAGACACAAGGTAGGTAAGGCTTCATGTTTTCTAATGTGAACTCATGTGTTGATGCTGTGGGTACTAGCCATTGCCTAGAAGCACTAGAATCTCCTCAGCCTAAAAAAAAACACCCACCTGCGGTCAACAAATGGTTGGTGTGATCTAGAAACACTTTTCCTTTGAACACATCAATTAGCTGTTCTTTGCACAAGAATTGGCCAAATCCTTAATTGGTATTTTTTCCTCCAAAAATCTTTGCTTACTAATCTTCTATGGAAAAGGACTGTATGAAAAGATGGTTGGTCCTGGTAGTGGGTACTGACATATTTTTCTCGCAAGCATATTCCTGTTCAGGATGTACCCTTCTAAAGCCCCTTTCACGCGGGTGGTCTGGTCAGATCCTCCTTTTCTGTGGTTTTTTTTTTCCTCTTGGTGAACCCGACCTGATCCTCCATCTCTTGTATAGGTAGTCTGTTGTTTCCATTACACCCAGCTGCCTCCGATCTGGCAGAAAGAAAGGGAAGGGGGATCCATTCCCCTTCATCTGAACAGATCAGAGGGCAGTTGGGTGTAAACAGACAGTTGGTCTGTTTAATACGATTGCCCATAGATGAGAGCAGGTTTATGCAGAGCGAACATGGACCTGTCATTCGGCAGCTCCACTCAGCTTAGCAGGGGATCAGCGGACGGATCATTGAGCAAAACCAGATCTGACCCATGTGAAAGGGGCCTAAGTATTCTGTCAGATGCATACCTTTTGAAAGCAACCTTTGCTGGTCCTACTTTACAACTAGCCTTTACAGTGATATAAATTTGTTAACTGGCTAGAGAGCATGATGCCTTTTGATGGAGAACACCTGTTTTGGTGAATTCCATGATTATGTTATCAAGGAAGTTACGGGGGGGGGGGGGGGGATGTACAGTTGTGCTCAAACATTTGCATACTCTGAAATACATACTACAGAAATTGTGAAATGTTGGCATTTATATTGAAACGATGACCATGCCAAAAAAGTCTTTTATTTAACCACTTGCCTACCGGGCACTTTTACCCACTTCCTGACCAGGCCAATTTTCATCTTTTTCAGTTTTGTCGCACTTTGACAATTGCGCGGTCATGCAACACTGTACCCATATGAGATTTTTCTTTTTTTTTCCCACAGAAATAGAGAGATTTCTTTTGTTGGCATTTGATCACCACCGGGCTTTTTATTTTTTGCAATATAAAGGAAAAAAGACAGCCTATTTAATTTCTGAGGCTCAAAAACACAAGGACAGTACAGATACCCCCCCCCCCCCCCCCCCAAGTGACAGTTTTTCAGAAAGTAGGCTTTCTGAGGTATTTACTAAGAGGCATGGCAAGTTTTTTGAAGTTGTTTTTTTTTGGTTATAATTTTGTTGAAAGTGAAGAAAAAAATTTTAATTTTTGAAATTTTTTTTTACAAACTGTCACCATTGCAGTACAGCGTCATCATATAATTGGTACAGTGGTGATCAGGGACACTTAGTTGCGACAGTGTTTAGGGAAGAAAAAAAAATTTTTTTTTTTTTTTTTGTAGTTAAATTTAAAAAAAATTTTTTTTTATAGTGTTATAAAAAAAATAGCAATACAGTGTTACCATAATAACATACTACTCTGGGCAAGTGATCACCATTTTTTTTTTCATTGGTATAAGCAAGCATTTTTTAATTTATTTGAAACTCCTAAGGTTGAATGGAGCTTCAAAGATTGCTTCTCTCGTCTGCCATTTTCGTGGTGGTTATCCGAGCTCATGATTTTCTAGAATCGGGTTTCTCTTAAGGCTCGCTTTGTTAGACTGAGTGCTTCGTATGCTTTTCAGTGTAAAGCAGCTGTTTTTCTGAGTGCAAGGCTTTCACCTATTCTGCTTTTCCCACATTCTCAGGTGGACATGTTGGCCTCATCTGATGCCAGCTTTGGGTATAAAATCCCTCAGGCAACTCTTTGAGCTGAAAGCGGTCATCAGTTTTGTTGTTTTCTGACCCTGTCAGCATTTGTATACTGAGTAGACAACCTCCTTGTTGCACTTCTTTTTGGATGTTCCAACAGTCTAAGAACTCCTGTGTCCCACAATGGACAAAAAAAGACAATGGGATTTATGTACTCGCCATAAAAACTTTTTTTTTTTTTTTTTTGCGGATAGTGGGCAAGGTTATATATATTCCTAGATTGTAAGCTCGAAAGAGCAGGGCCCTCAATCCCCTCATGTTTTGCATTGTATTGGTATTGTTCTGTCACATGTTCTGTCCCCTTTGTAATGTACAGCGCTGAGCGAACCATTGGCACTTTATAAAATACTGTATAATAATATGTAGATGTAGACACCTTGTTAAGATACAGTAAAGATCTCCAAGGTTTTCAATTTTACTTCTCAATTTCTTTGATTTAGGTGTCCTAATTGATGCAATGAGAAAAGGTTACTGGATCATACTGGATGAACTGAATTTGGCTCCAACAGATGTACTTGAAGCTCTCAAACAGATTGCTAGATGACAACAGAGAACTGTTCATTACTGAAACACAAGAAGTGGTTAAAGCACATCCACGTTTTATGCTTTTTGCCACACAGAATCCACCAGGCATTTATGGGGGCAGAAAGGTTTGTGTTTTTTTTTTTTTTTTAATACTTGAACATATACAGTACTGTGCAAACGTTTTAGGCAGATGTGAAGAATAATACTGTAAAGTAAGAATTCTTTAAAAATATATATATTTTTTATTTTTTTTGTCTATTTACAAAATGCAAAGTGAGCTAACAGAATAAATATCTTAATCAAATCAGTATTTGGTGTGATTTCCCTTTGGTATCTAATCTGAATCAATTCTTAAACTTATACACTTTGTACACAGGATTTTATAGGATTAGAGTCTGTCATGAACCACCTAATACCAAGCAGGTGCCACTGACCATTAATTTCATATGTAGGTTGAAACAGACATTGCTGAAAATGCTGTGTAGGAGGTCTAAAACTGGGTGAGGAACAGCCAGCTTCGAAGGTGAGGCTGTGGAAGACCATTTTATGTCATGGCAAAGATTTCAAAGTAGACTGGGTTTTCAAGATGTTGCTGTTCAAGCTGTTTTGAAAAAGCACAAAGAAGCTGGCAACGATGAGGGTCGTAGACGCAGTGGACAGCCAAAGAAACTTAATGCAACAGATGAAAGACACATTTTGCTTACTTCCCTTTAACATCAAAAGATGTCCAGCAGTGCCATCAACACAGAACTGGCAAAAACCAGTGGGACCCAGGTACACCCATCTACTGTCCAGACAAAGAAAACGTGCACCGCTCTAGTGAGTATACCGGCTATAGTCCCATGCAGGTACTTGCCAATAACTGTACACCACCGCATGACTTGATCCAAACAAAAAATCCTTTATTTTCTCCATTGTCAGAGAGACAGTACAAATGACTAGCAAGCTGTTGATGCATTTCACACATTTAATTGCTTACTCTTTCTACACCCATCTACTGTCTGAAGAAGTCTGGCCAGAAGTGGTCTTCATGGAAGAATTTGAAATATTTGGCTATAGCAGGAGGCAGTTTATTTGCTGAAGGGCTGGATAACGGTTCAATGATTGTCTGCAGGCAACATTTAAGCATGGTGTAGGTTCCTTGCAAGTTTATGGCTACATTTCAGCAAATGAAGTTGGGGATTTCGTCAGGACAACGATGTCCTCAATGCAGAGACATACAGGCAGATTCTTATCCACCATGCCATACCATCAGGGACATGTGTGATTGGACCCAAATTTATTCTGCAGCAGGACAACACCAAACATACAGCCAATGTCATTAACCCATTGGTGTAGGTGCTTTCCGGCCCCTTAAGGGGTTTGTGACGCTGAGAGGCTGGGTTTACTGTCATGTGACTGCTGTGATTGACTGTAACAGTGATCACATGATCGAAAAGGTCCCAATCACAAGTAGTGATCAGGACCTTTCCGTGAGGTGCCGTCAAGGCCCAGCCGCCGAGAGGCCGCATATTTGTGTACTGTCGGCGTGAACAGGTTAAGAACTGTCTTCAGCGTAAAGTACAACAAGATGTCTGGGGTGTGATGGTTTGACCCTACAGAACATTTAACTCAACAGCTGTCTGGGATTACATGAATAGAGAAGAATTTGAGGCAGCCTACATCCACAGAAGATCAGTGGTTAGTTCTCTGATGTTTAGAACAACCTAACTGCAGAGTTCCTTTTAAAACGGTATGCAAGTATACCTAGAAGAATTGATGCTGTTTTGAAGGCAAAGGGTGGTCACACCAAATATTCTTTTGATTTGGATTTTCTCTTCTGTTTACTTTCCATTTTGTTAATTGATGAAAACAAACTAAAACGTCTATTTCTGAAAGCGTTCTTAATTTACAGCTTTTTTTTCGCCTGAAACTTTTGCACATTAGTGTGTATATATACCGTATGGGTTTTTTTTTTTCTTTTTAGGTATTGAAAATGTGGTTGGAATTATGGAGAAAATACAAAAATGTTTTTATGATTTTTAACAGGTGTTATCTAGGGCTTTTCGTAATCGATTTGTGGAACTACATTATGATGAGCTTCCAAGTGCAGACCTGGAAACTATTCTGCATAAGCGCTGCAACCTGCCACCATCTTATTGTAATAAATTGGTTGCAGTTATGCTAGAGTTACAGGTAATCATTTAAATATATATTTACAATTCACATTTATGATTGGTAATGTGTTAGGAAATCATTGAAAAAAAAAAAAACTTGTTAATTTACATTGCAATTTCAACAATTTAAAAAATACTCCCTTTGTGGGATCACCCACACTGCAAAGGTTAAATGCTTGTACTGTCTAGGTGTTAAAGTACAATAGTTAGTGTTTACCTCACACCTGCTCCAGGGCTGTCCTCATCTGCCCAAAGCTTCAGTCTGTGGATGTAGCCTGTTGTCATCACGTGCAATACAGGTCTATCAACCCTGTTTTGTATGCCGAAGCTGGAGTGTGATCTGAACTGGTCACAGAACACAGTGTAGGCTGCAGGAGTCAGGTTGCAGTGCTAAAGGATCTTATTAATACCCCTAAAATAACAAACATTTAACCCTTGTGGAGGATGCTACTGCAAAGGTGGATTTTTTTTTAATTCCAGCATTTGGTCTTTAATATTTCCTGATTTGTATTTCAGTCTCTTAGAAGAGGATCCTCAGTGTTTGCAGGAAAGCATGGCTTTATTACACTCCGTGATCTCTTCCGCTGGGCTGAGAGGTACCGTCTATCTCAGCAACCAAACCATGAATATGACTGGCTTCAACACTTGGCAAATGATGGTATGAAATCATCCTTTTGTTATACAGTGCAAAATCATAATGGTGAAAGTTGCACAGATCAATATACTTTCTTCTCTTCAACTAGGTTTTATGCTACTGGCTGGAAGAGTAAGGAAGCAGGAAGAGGTAGATGTTCTACTAAAAGTTTTAAGAAAGTGTTTTAAAAAAGAGGTGGTGCCAGAAGTCCTCTTCTCCACAGAAAATATCCAGAAGCAATTACGTGAGTTAATCATTTTTATGAGCTAAAAAAAATTTCATTATTCTTGATTTTGTGCTCTCATTGTTTATTTTGGCAACCTAAAGGAAACATGAGAGAAATACCTAGTTGCCGTTTTTTCTTATCTCCTGTGAGAAAATACTAGTTGCTTGACTGTTATTTTGACCCTGTTGCTTTAATACTTTAAAAATGGAAACTCAGTATGATAAAGGAAGTCAAAAGTTCTTATATTTGTTCTGGATAAGTAGTTTAAATTATTAAGGCCAGGAGCCATTAAACTAGCATTTTGTAAGTATATTATAAGCTATGTTGCACCCATATTTGGCTCATAATTGGTACTCTTGAAATTAAGTTAAGGCTTACTAAGTTGTTTTCAGGACAGTGCTTCTGGGTGTGTGTTCTGAAACGTTTATCTCTAGTAGTTAAATTAACGAAGTGGCAAGTTTGTTAAAGATGGGGTTATTATATTGCATTATGACAGATGGACCACTTTTTACATTAAGGTCCAAAATGACACGTGTATAGCTATTTCTGGCAGAGAAAGTCACAAGTAGCCTGGTGGAGTATGATGTGAGGTGGGTTGTACACCTAAAGGGAAAGAACCTGCAGGCAGTTCGGACTTTTATAGAGGTAATTGCTGCTAAAGGCAGCATGTTTGAGGACACACTGATGCCTGTGTCCATGTCTTTCTGACCCAAAAGACCGGTATGCTAGCCAGACGTCTAAGGTAAATGGCAGCTATCCACAGTCTAGTGAGTAAAGTTGGGTATTTACAGTTTTTCTTTTTTTTTTTTTTTCCATTCACTCCGTGAATTGAAAGGAAAAAAAAAAAAACTTCATAGATTCCTGCATCCACCCCAGCAATGTGGATGCAGGATTCTCCCCCATCTGGAAATTGTATTCTTACATCAGGGACACTCTTGTCAGAATACACTGATCAGTGCTACAACTGGTTTGATTAGTTGCAAGCTGCTAGTTGAAGGTAGTTTTGCAGCATTCCCGTTTGACAGATCTATCGGCTTTTGTCAAATGGGGAGAACTACATACAGATTGAAGTTAGTCTGGTTCCTCTCACACTAGCTGAATTTTTATCCATGTGTTTGTGCTGTAACAGACAGTCTGCACAGATCAAGCTGGGTGGACCCTATACCTAAGAAGCTGGATGTTTGGCTTTATTGCGCTAAAAAAACAAACCCCCTGTAAGGGGAACCTTTGCTTCATTGCTAAGTGAAAGTAGGGCTGAAAGACCTAAAATGCACACTGGAATATGGATTGAATGCTTATAGCATGCAGCTAAATTCTGAAAACCTTTCATTGGTGTACTTTTTGCATTTGAATACAACTGTACAGAGTTCCTCTCCCTTTTTTAGGCACACGTTAAAATGATTTACAATCTTGAGGCACCCCGTTCTAAAATGTAAAAAAAACTAAACCAATAGCTTTATGTATCGCAGCAGCATCCACACACATAAGCCACTCAACATTAGTGGTGATTTATTCCGTAACCTTTACAAACTGGTACTGACTAGTATTCTAGTGCTTCTCTTCTCCCTCCATTTTTCTCCCCCTCTCTGCTAACATGACCCAAGTGCTGATGTCATTGGTTGTTAGGATGATAGTGGCATGCCTGCATGGTGCCCAAGCTTGTAATCAGTGGGTTGATACGCTGGCTTGTTGACAATTTTGGGAAAATGTGGCATTTTTTAGGCTTTTTGACAAGGCACCCATGAAGAACACAGAAGGCACCCTGGTTACAGGGACGTTTGCTCCCAAGCAATAAAACATGCTTACTACCTTTTTCTTTTTTTTTTTTTTTTATTCAGAAAGACTATCTGTTAAGACTGGTGTTACAGATGAGAATTTTTCCCATATTGTATGGACCCAGGCAATGAGAAGACTTGCCGTTCTTGTGGGTCGAGCTTTAGAGTTCGGAGAGCCAATATTACTTGTTGGTGATACTGGGTAAGTGAAATTTTTCATTGGGTAGACTTGAGAAATTATGACTATTTAACAGCTCTGTGCTATTTTCTGTGTTTTTTTTTTTTTTTCTTTCTTTTAAGTTGCGGGAAAACCACCATATGCCAGCTATTTGCAGCATTGTCAAACCAACCATTGTATTCTGTGAACTGCCACCAACACATGGAAACCTCAGACTTTTTGGGTGGACTACGACCTATTAGACATAAATCCAAGGGTAAAGTAAGTAAACATGAACAGTTGGTGTTAACAGCCCTACACTGCAGTTCTGCAGCAGTGCACTTGTGACCATGTATTTGTTGTCTGAAACAGGATGATCTAGAAAACACAAGACTATTTGAGTGGCACGATGGTCCTTTAGTTTTGGCTTTGAGAGAAGATAGCTTTTTCCTGATGGATGAGATCTCTTTAGCAGATGACTCTGTGTTGGAGAGGTTAAACAGGTTGGTATTTCATTGTTTAAATTATTTAACAATGTATTTCTCTACAAGAACTGAATTGTTTTGGGGATCAGACATATCTTAACAGCTCTGTAATATTGTGACTCTTACGGGGGATATAGAGGCAGTGATGTTTATGACCATATTATTGTGAAGCAAGACTAACTTATGAACAAAGCTTTAATACTTTCATCTAACGCTTTTCTGCTAATACCTCTCCAGATCATTCCTGTGGAGGCATGGTACTGTTTTATTGTAACGTTTATTATTGAAGGAGCAAAACTCAACATGGAGTTGAAGGCTGGGTACCTAGCAGCACCAGGGCACTACTGAGCAAGGTGCTGAGTCTTCTCAGTGACAAATGTCTGTGTTATTACATTTACATATAAGTCACCTGGCCATTTAGGAACCAATTTGTCTTTGATCCGTAGTCCTGATGTTACAGGCACATGCCCCCTTTCAAAGTGGATGCAGCAGTGTACTGGCTGGGCAGTGCTGCAATACATTTACTCAGTAGAGCTCTTTATTTGGGCCCTTAAATGTGTGCTAAAGTTGAACTTTTCTCCTTTCAAATTTAACTTTAGTATGTAAAATGGAATACTTTTTTGTTTTTGTTTTAAATATAGAATACAGGTTGCAGTAACCATTGATCTTGAAATTTGTATCTGTTCACAGTGTTCTGGAAGTTGAAAAGACATTGGTATTGGCTGAAAAGGGAAGTGAAGAGGATGATGGTGATGTTGAGTTCCTAACAGCTGGGACTAAGTTCCGAATTTTGGCTACCATGAATCCTGGTGGTGACTTTGGAAAGAAAGAGGTAACTGTGACAAATGTGGCATCAGACCTCTGCCCTCTTCAGACTTGCAACAAATGGCTGGTCAACCTCACACTGTGCTGTCACTGATTCACAACAGTGTTTCCCTCAACCAATCCCTTCACAAAGATTGTCTAGTTTGCAGGACCACAATCTTAAGTGCCAGCAAATTGAGAGTGATTGTCATTGGGTTTAGTTAACTACGTCACCAACTACTTTTATAAAAAAAATAGTAAACATGCGCAAGATTAGCAATTATGTCTTTAGCATAAATGTCTGTAACACACACTGTCACCACAGACTGGTTTGTTCAGAGATTTACTTTGTAGTAGCACTCTTCAAGAGACAGGGATTTTTCAAGTTTTGCGTTAGTGCATTAGAGATAATTTTAACACTTTTCAAAATGTGGTTTAATAATGAAAAGGTAAAAACGGTGCAAATAAAATATTTACAGAAAAAAGGTATTACAAAGGTAAAAAACACAACAATGCAACAGCAAAACAAAAGGGTTGAAAAACAAAAATACTTGGCAAGTCAATTTTCAGCAGAGTCCAAAGCAATGAGCAAGATGGTACTGTGGTTCTTATAAAACTTGACAGATCTTCCTTCTTTTAATGGTAAATGATAGCTGTCAAGTGTCCTTGCCACTCCTCTCTTCTGGACATCAAAGACAGATGTTAACAGACCATCTGACCAAGAGGCTGAAGAATGACCAATTTAATGTCACAAGTTTAGGACTGTACCGTGGCCATACCTTTTTAGTTTTATGCCGATATTAAGATCTTGAAATATTTACAGATTGCATTCTTGAAACTGGTAACTACTGTCCAGCATTCATTTTCATTAATTTTCGTGTCTAGAGATACTGAACAGGTGATCTCTCGGATAGTTCTGTCACCTAGGAGGTAGGAGATCGCTGTCCCATCTTCTGTATACTATAGCTTAGGCATGTATGGCCTTGATTTGTTTGGTTTGGTGTTCTCCATTCAAATATATAATTAATATCAATGTGTCTTGGACTCTCTGATTTTTTTGGAGGATGTGTAGATTTTGAAACCTTGATTGAGACAGAGGTCTCTGAAAGGTCACCTCAGGCCTGAATTGCTTTTATGATACCCATTAGCCCTGGGTAGGACATTTTACTGCAGGCTCTGTGCTTTTAATGGTCTTAATTACCCTACAAACCATGGGTGACAAAACTGAAGGATTTTGTTATAGCTGGATGGGTCTTTCCCAATTCCCTTGCAGGGAAAGGGGATAATCTTCTAGATGTTTAGAGTAGATGGGGAGATTAGAAAACTGACATACTGCAATGTTCTGTTACAGATTCCCTGCTACAGATAAGGTCTGCAAATGGCTATTAGCCACTTGTCCTCCTGAGGATTCCCCCTCCCCCCCTTCCTGGCCAGGCCATTTGCTGTGTTACTTTAACTGACAATTGCGCGGTCATGCAACGCTGCACCTAAATGAAATTTACGTTTTGTTTTTTTTTTTTCACCACAAATTGAGCTATTTGTTTTTTTGTTTTGTTTTTTTTTTGTGCGCTCTATATCTATCTATATATATCTATCTATATATATATATATATATATATATATGTGTGTGTATATATATATATATATATATATATATATATATATGATAGTGTAGTGTAGGTATGTAGGTAGGTATGTATATATATATATATAAAATTAACAATTTTGAAAAAAAAAACTGTTTGACTTTTTACTATTAGACATATCCAGTAAAAAAAAAAAAAATCACATTTCATCATAAATTTAGGCCACAATGTATTCTGCTGCATGTCTTTGCTAGAAAAAAAAAAAAAAAATCTCAATACATATAAATTAAATGGTTTATGTGAAAGTTGTAGCTTTTACAAATGGCGGTATAGATAATGCAATTTTTTTTTTTAACTAGTAATGGCGGCGATCAGCAACTTATAGCGGGACTGCAACAGATATTCTGATACTGGGGGGAACTGACTTGGTGTCACTGACATCCCCAGTGACACCAATACAGTAATCCGTGCAAAAAAAAAAGCACTGAAACTGTCCCAATGGCACTGGGCAGGAAGGGGTTAACATGATGGGCAATCCCAGTGTGCTGGGAGTGTTTTACCAGAGGGCTATGTCAGTGTGCTTCATTGTAAGCACACTGCTTTGGATGGCTGTGCTGTACACAGCCATCCAAAGCAGTGTGCCCGAGCTGACAGGTAGGAGAACGGATTGTCGGAAATCTCCGGGCATCGACGAGTAATCAACGGCCAGGACCTGGTGATTGACAGCCGCGGCTGGCGGAAATGCAATATCACGTTTATGTAAACGTGATTTTGCGCACCCGTGCCGCCCTGTAGCAGTATTTATTTCTGCTATAGGGCAGATGGGAAGCGGTTAATGACCTGCTAAGTCATGGCCTGCAGACTTGTTTATTGCCATCCTAAGATATGTTTTAAAATAGTAAATTCTGTTTGCTATGTGAGCATTGTCCAATGTAAGCTATTCAGGGCCATAATGCAATAGGGTTGATTTTTGCCATGGGTTACAATATAGGTTTAATGTAACTGCTCTGTTTTCACAGCTGTCTCCTGCCCTGCGTAACAGATTTACAGAGATTTGGTGCCCACAGAGTAATGATCGGCAAGATATTTTGGACATAATTAAACACAATCTGAATGTTCGATTATGTCTTGACTCCACCGACAGCAGTGGTAAGTTTTCTAGCTAAAGCTTTTAAAAAGATTTGGAAAGTTAATATTGCCTTTATTGCTGCTCTCCATTTGGATACCGATCTCCCACCTCAGCTGCAGCTGGCTGGAGAGTGAGGGAGGAAGGAAGGAACGCTGGCCAGCAGTGCTGCAGAGATTGGGCTCTGGGAAAATGGTGAGTGGGGGTGCATTGTTGTTGGGGGATAGGGGCGGGTTTGGGGAGGGATCTATTGATAAATCTCCTTGTGACTCCCCTGCAGCATCCAAAGCTTGTGAGAGGGGAGAGGCAGGGAAGCCAGCGGCTGCAGGGATCTACAGGGAGATTTACAGTATGTCACAGAAGTGAGTACAACCCCTCACATTTTTGTAAATATTTTATTATATCTTTTCATGTGACAACACTGAAGAAATGACACTTTGCTACAATGTAAAGTAGTGAGTGTACAGCTTGTATAACAGTGTAAATTTGCTGTCCCCTCAAAATAACTCAAACACACAGCCATTAATGTCTAAACCGCTGGCAACAAAAGTGAGTACACCCCAAAGTGAAAATGTCCAAATTGGGCCCAATTAGCCATTTTTCCTCACCGGTGTCATGTGACTCATTACTGTTACAAGGTAGCAGGTGTGTTAAATTTGGTATCGCGCTCTCTCTCATACTGGTCACTGGAAGTTCAACATGGCACCTCATGGCAAAGAACTCTTTGAGGATCTGAAAAAAAAAGAATTGTTGCTCTACATAAAGATGGCCTAGGCTATAAGAAGATTGCCAAGACCCTGAAACTGAGCTGCAGCACAGTGGTCAAGACCATACAACGGTTTAATAGGACAGGTTCCACTCAGAACAGGCCTCGCCATAGTCAACCAAAGAAGTTGAGTGCATGTGCTCAGCGTCATATCGAGAGGTTGTATTTGGGAATTAGACGTATGAGTGCTGCCAGCATTGCTGCAGAGGTTGAAGGGGTGGGGGGGTCAGCCTGTCAGTTCTCAAACCATACTCCGCACACTGCATCAAATTGGTCTGAATGGCTGTCATGCCAGAAGGAAGCCTCTTCTAAAGATGATGCACAAGAAAGCCCGCAAACAGTTTGCTGAAGACAAGCAGACTAAGGACATGGATTACTGGAACCATGTCCGGTGGTCTGATGAGACCAAGATAAACTTATTTGGTTGAGATGGTGTCAAGCATGTGTGGTAGCAACCAGGTGAGGAGTACAAAGACGAGCGTGTCTTGCTTACAGTCAAGCATGCTGGTGGGAGTGTCATGGTCTGGGGCTGCATGGGTGCTGCCGGCACTGGGGAGCTACAGTTCATTGAGGGAACCGTGCATGCCAACATGTACTGTGACATACTGAAACAGAGCATGATCCCCCTCCCTGCGGAGACTGGGGGCGGCAGGGCAGTATTCCAACATAACGACCACAAACACACCTCCAAGGCAACCACTGCCTTGCTAAAGAAGCTGAGGGTAAAGACATGGACTGGCCAAGCCTGTCTCCAGACCTAAACCCTATTGAGCAACTGTGGGGCATCCTCAAATGGAAGGTGGAGGAGCGCAAGTTCTCTAACATCCACCAGCTCTGTGATGTCGTCATGGAGAAGTGGAAGAGGACTCCAGTGGCAACCTGTGAAGCTCTGGTGAACTCATGCCCAAGAGGGTTAAAGCAGTGGTGAAAAATAATGGTGGCCACACAAAATATTGACACTTTGGGCCCAATTTGGACATTTTCACTTTGGGGTGTACTCACTTTTGTTGCCAGCGGTTTTAGACATTAATGGCTGTGTGTTGAGTTATTTTGAGGGGACAGCAAATGTACACTGTTATACAAGCTGCACACTCACTACTTTTTACATTGTAGCAAAGTGTCATTTCTTCAGTGTTGTCACATGAAAAGATAAAATATTTACAAATATGTGAGGGGTGTGCGATACTGTAACTATTGAAATAGATTCCACCCCGCTGCTCTGAATTTCTGCCTCATTCCCTCCCCCCCCTTACTACCCCTCCCTTTACTACCCCTCCCCTCACATTTTAATGTTAATAGTTCTGATCAGCAGCTTGTCAGACGCTGGGGACCACTATTGGTTTGTTTGGCGGAGTCTGCTGAACAGTTCTGCTATAAGTTCATGGTTACTGATGTGACCATGAGTTTATTGCAGGAGGAGAAATGTCATGTCTATATGCCGTACTTACCTGGCCTTCTGGAAGTGGTTTGTTAGGTCTGTATACCATATGGACCGGGCAGTGAAAGGGTTAATGTATATACATAGAATTATTGAGCATGATGAGTTTAAAATGTGATACAAGTTTAAAATGATAAATGGTTGTAGTTGAGTAGGTACTTTTGTGTTCTTACAATATGATTTTATTACATTTTTTTTTTTTTTTTTCTGTGTTCAGCTTTGAGCAGGAAACAACTGCTAATACAAACAATTTCTTAGTAATAAAGATCTGTGAATTACTTCTATATTGCAGATGGTGGTATAGCTGAGCTGATTATTGACTTCATTGAATGGCTTATCAACCAAGAATTTGGTCGACGTTGCATACTTAGTATTCGGGACATACTTTCCTGGGTGAATTTTATCAATGTCACAGCAGATGATATGTCGGTTAAAGAGGACGTTGGGACAACTCTTAATGCCGTCATGGCTTTTATTCATGCAGCATGTTTGGTGTATGTTGATGGCATAGGATCTGGTAAGTGGTGCTTGTTTGGCCTAGTTGTTAGCCCCTAAATGACATAAAATACTCTGTCTACGCTTTTTTTTCTGTTTGTTGCAAGACTGTTAGGTTTACAAGGGCTGTGCTGTTTACAGTAGCAATATTCCTCTCTAGTTAACTATCAAAGCAAACAAATCCACCCCTAAGTATTTTAGTACATTTGGAACATTTTGAACATGGTCAGTGATATAAACCATCATAAACATAACATGATTTCAGAATCATGATAAAAAGTAGTGATTAAATTTTAGCAATAAGAAACCATCAGATATATGATCTGTAAAGTGCAAGTATCAATTTTAAACTCTGAAGTTCTCTTTGCTTTATTTTGTAATTCTGTAATCTTGGTATTTTTATACTAGTTTAATTACAGATTGAGTAGTGTTCTAAAATTTTATTCTGAATTCTCAGGTTTATTAAAAAAACAAACAAAAAAAAAGGTATACTCTGAGCTGATGTATATGTGTGAGTGTGCGTGTGTATATACGTACCTGCTCCTCCCAAACCAAGATACCAAATGTGGCAGCCGGGGGGGGGGGGGGTGTCAGATAAACAAAGCTTCTGTTTTTGGGTGGAACTCCACTTTAACGTAGAAACCTGTCTGCTGTTCATTATTAATCATTCATTAATCTTATATAATTAATTTTGAAGCTGTATTACGGCAGACCCTCTATTCTGATGGGTCCTACTTTTGGCAAATAGGCCTTTTACCTGTTCGCTTACTCTACTGCGTCAGTGGCTTGGTGAATACATGTCCCACATTGCTAGGATAAGCCTTCTATCTCTCCATCTTTGGAGGTGAGCGCCTGTTTGGTCTCTTCTTGCTTGAGTACCTCAAGGTGTTCACATCCCTAAAAAGACCACTTGTACTTCTGCGAGTTTACTTTTACTCCTGAGGCTGGGAAAATTTTCTGTGTCCCTCTCAGGCCTCCAGCTCCAAATCTGAAACTGTTTGTCGAAAGACATTGCCAAAATCATTAAGCCTTCTGGTTGCAGGAAATCTCTGATGCCTGGATTTAGAATACAATTTCCTGGGCCTAAAAGGTGGAGTTTAATGCAGGCCATAGATGGGGAGAGAAAAACGGCAGATTTTCGGCCGATTAACGAACTATCGGTCGGTCTAAAAAACTTACCTGACCACCAATTATTACGAAAATCGGCCGATTAATGAGTAACTTAACGGGAAATGATGTCATTTTGTGGCCTTTGTGATCCTTTTTCGGAAAACGATCGTTCGATGACCATCAATGAGGATAAAAAGTCGGGCGTTTTTCGAAAATTTTCCAACATCACCGATAATCTGAAAGTCCAAAATACACGAAAAACGGCCGACAAAATCGTCCACTAACGATAAGTGTTTTATTTCCGGACGAAAAATCGGCCGTTTTTTCTCCCCATCTATGGCCTGCATTAGACTTTGATAAATCAGAGTAACTTGCGAGCCACAGGTGTGATAATTACTAGAGGATCGCAAACATGAAACACACAACTACAACTGTGTTGGAAATATCTACAAATATATGTTGCGCTCCTAAATACTTCTTAATAAATAATAATTAAATTATTACCATTAAATTAATTCAAATTATAATACAAATAACTAATAAAAGTGTATAAATACCAAAAAATATTTAAATAGATAGTTTCAACTAATCAATCTCCTCCAAATAAATATCAAAATAATTCCACATGAAATACTCCTCTAAAAAAATTTTTTTACCAAGTGCTCATAAATCATCTATTAGTGACATGATGTACTTACTAATACCCTCAATTACATTTATATTCATAATACCCTCATTTAATATAATAAAAATAGTAAACCAACTAATAACCCTCAACTAAAACGCATTTAGATGATCCCCCATAAAAAATAACCAAATGCTTCATAAATAATTAATAGTGATTAGTATGAATCCAAATATCATCAAAATAATAGTCCCATTGAATAAACAATTGTTTATATATAGTGACTTGGTGCTTGTTGTTCTTCAATTTGTGACTTTTGTGAATCCTTCAAATAGTGAAGATGTGCGCTCACCTCCTTTGATGCTTGCAATTAGGCTATACACGCTTTCGGTTCACTTTCCCTGGAACCTGCTAGACATATACTTTTGCTGGTGAAATCGGGAGATCCTTCCTTTAGGAGTAATGGATGTATCCTCTGGTGGCTGATTATCCCCTCAGGGATTACACACTCCTTTTGTTATCCCAGACCTCCTAATTATCCTCTCCTTATATTACTCCGCATGCAGGAAGAAATAGAGGACATAGTGCTTTACCTTTTAAAAACTTTTTTTTCCCACCATCCAAGTATTAAACTCACATTACACAGGTTTAAGTAACGCAATATCCCATTGGAAATCCTCTGCTGGTGTAAGGGACCGCCCGGCGGTACCACTAGCACTCCACTGATCGGACGTTCCCAGCGTACGGAGTCTAAGCCCCAGAGTACTTGTTCACCAGGGCCCCTGATGGTGGGGATGGACTTGGAGTACTCTGGGACCAGGTCGTGACTACTGAGGACACCCGTCAGTGGTAGGGGTATTCGCCAGGGGCTCCCACGGGAGAGAGCCAGGTATGAGGAGGTCTGGAGACCCCGTTGAGAGGGATGGATGGATGGCTGAGCAAGTGCAAGGTCATACAAGCCGGGTCGGTAACTATGGGGACGGTGCGGTACAGAGCAGCGGGCAAAGAATAGTCGGGTCACACGCCAGGTCAGCAACAGCAGGTCGGCTCCAATAGGGGGCATACAGGAGAGAGGTCAGGCAAGCAAGGGTCAAGAACAGGAGAAACCGCAAGGTCAGGGCACAATCCGGGTCAGCAACTTACTTTCACAGGTTTCACAGGACACAGGATTCAAAGAGACCAAAAGGCCCTGAATGACAGCTCAGGGCCGTTTAAATATCCCGCCCTGCGCTGTCATTGGTGCCAGGGCGCGCGCCCGTGGTCTCTACTTCGCATGCGCGAACCTGGTTGCCGCGGTCGGCCAGGTCCCGGCGCCCGCGTCCCTGCACAGGGCGGTGTACTGCGCCGAGCCCAGCGGCGCGGCGATCCCCGACAGCTGGCCTCTGAGTCATACACCTGCCGTCTATCGTGTTGTGCAGCTCCTCCCCTACGCGTTTAAGACTTTGCTTCATGCTTTGAAATTTGCCTATCTCCCTGCCAAGACAGGCAATTTAGCTTCTGCTTTTCAGCAGCTTCTCGCAGAGGGCCATTGCCTCTATTCTGAGAAAGGAATACTTTCAAGGTTTTACTCAAACCTGTTCAGTTTTCAAGTCAAATGGAGAGATTCAGCATATTTTGGATCTAGAAACTACATTTTTTTTCTGTGGGTTCAAAAGTTTCACATTGAATCAGCCAGGTCGATCATTACTTCCCTTTTTCCAGGGGATTTTCTTGCTTCAGTAGATTTATGGGATGCTTGAACTGTCCCACCTTTCCTCATCAATGCCATTTATGTTTTGTGGTGGGCTTTCAGCATTTCCAATTGTTGCCTCTCCCTGTCCATTGTTCCCTGTGCTTTCTCTACAGTGCTTGCCCTGGTCCTTGCTCTACTCTATTCCCAGGGGATACAAATTGTGGGATAGCTGGACAATATTACTAAAGGTTTAGTCCTCCCTAACCATGTCTAAAGGATATTGCAGAGTCTGCAGACTTTTGGTTGGAACCCCAAACTTCCTGGCCTGAAATAACTTTCTGTCCCTTCCTTTGGTCCTAGGGTCAGCCCCTCGTTTTGTATTTTCATGAGGGTCTTGGGTCTGGTAATAGCCTCCTAAATACAGTGCTGTATTTCCAGTTTCTCTCCAGACTGTTGCAACACAACTTTTTTGGCAGCATGGGACAAGCACTCTTTCCTTGGACTGACCCTGTGGGGTTTATTTAGTAAAGCTGGAAAGTGCAAAATCAGGCTCATTTTGCATAGAAACCAAATGGCTTCTAACCTCTGCTTATTCAATTAAGCTTTGACAATAAAACCTTGAAGCTGATTGGTTTATAGGCAGACGTGAGCCTGATTTTGCACACTCCAGCTTTCGTAAATAAGCCCCCATGTGTCTGACCTTCAAGGCCAGGCTTTCCTTGACATGGTGGCGTTCCAACCCAGGAGGAGGAAAAATCCTGGAGGCAGGGAAAACCTTTGGTGTGGAAAGTGATCATGACGGATGTCAGCCTAAATTCCTTACAGGTGCAGGAGGCTTGGCTGTTGTAGGAAGCTTTCCTTCGTCTCAACATCCATCCTGGAATCAGGAGGCAATTCACTTATCCCTTCAGTGCTGGACCCCTTAGTTGTGAAGTCACCCGAAAAGAATCCAGTCAAAGTGCCACAGCTGTGGCCTTGCATGTCCCTTCAGGGAGGCACAAGAAATCACACCATTCAAAAGGAAGAGGACTTGATGCTCTCTTGTGCAGCACTACATGTTCTGGACCTGTCCACATACCAGGCATTGAAAATTGGAAGGAAGATTCAGTCATCAGCGCCTGGGTCAGAGGAAATGGGCTGTCCATCCAGAAGTGTTTCAAGCCCTTTGTCGCATGTAGGTGGCACCAGATGAACATCTGGCATTGAGATTCAGCAACAAATTGGACTGGTTTGTCAGGTCCAGGGACCCTCAGACCTTCTCATTGGACGATCTGGTGACTCTGGAATTAGTTCCACACAATCTGCTCTTTTCTGCCTCTCTAGCTTCTCCCTTGTCTGTTCCTCAGGATCGAGACGAAGGGCATTCTGGTGATTCTCAACACACAAAAGTGGCTAAGGTGGCTATAGTACCTGGACTATGCAGACTCTGGGGGGGAGGGGATTCTTAATCATGGTGAATTTTGTTCTAGGGGGCAGTCCTGCATTCTACTTTATGGTCGTTGACTTCATTGACATGTCGGTTGAAGCTCAGGT